ACTTTTCCCCGGATTACATTTATATTTGCTAAAAGTGTACGCCGACCTCCTCATTTGCGCGATCTGGACGCCTATGTCGATAAATCATGCGTCCTGCAGACACGAGATTGAGCCATTAGTCAGAATGATGGAATTATTCATCGAATCCTTCGAAAGCCATTTATACTTAGGGCACAGGAATATTTGTTTGTGTCACAAACCTCGTAACTCCTCGTGCAAATATGGCGGGATTTATTAGTCTAGAAATCCAGTTCGACCTATTTCATAGTTTTAATTCGAGTATCTTTTTGTTCATTCTTTACTTCATTTTGTATTTTGATTTTTACCTGCAGCGAATTTCGTGGTAATTTAATGGAAAGTTGATTTCGTAGTTACAATGAAATATATTTTTTACAGGTCATTTAAGATACCTGTGAATTCTGATGTTGCAAATTTGGGGTCATTTTATTATTCCTTATGTATTATTTTATACGTTTCTTTTGGAATTTGTAAAAGTATGTAATTCAGATTTCAAATATTCTTTTTGCTCTTTTAAAAATTTAGGAGTCATTGGTCTGTCCAATAATAATTTCCCACAAATTATTTTCCTAATTTTTGTAAATAATATTAGATAACAGTAATTATTTCCTAAGTTTTCTAAATAATAAGCCTAAATAATAATACCAGCTATTAAAGCTATTCCTCATTTTTATTATAATAGACGTTGTACTATCTATAGGCATAATAATTTTTCGGTAATTAGCAAATAAAAAAATAATTAAATAAAACGCTGAAATTAATTTGAATTTTTATTAAAACCATTTAATTTAACTCTTCGATTTTTTTACTCCTAAGCAACACGTGTTTACGGAAATCAAGTTTCACAAGATACGTCAAAAATTTATGTGTGAACCTTTTTTTACGACACATGTATCGTTGAATTTTATACACCACTGGCCGGCATAATGGTACATTTAACTACTGTTTGAGCTATTTTCATGTCGAACATTAATTACATATCCAAGACCGTAAGCGCGATTAGGAATTTCCAATCCCAGCACAATTATTTCCCGTTGAATATTAATCTTAAAAAAGTAGGTAACTTCGGTAGGTAACGACTATCTTAGTATACAAAGTGGAAAACACGTAGAAGTTATGTAATGGCTGATTCTTGGCATTTTATTTGCACCTGGAATTAAATTGATCAACGTTTCCGGCTGTTTTATTCAAAGTGTTTTATTCCAATGCATTAAAACGTGAGATGTGCTGAGAATCGCTGTGATCTGTTTAAATGCATGATTTTTAAACAAAATTAAACATGATTCAAGAAATGTGGAATTAAAAAATGACAAATAATACTTGATTAATTTGTGACGACTGTGATTCTCGTTGTTTCTTGATTTCTGTCATTTGGTGATTTATAGAAAATATTTTACGGTAATTTTACATAGTTGAAAAGAGGATGAACTTGAGATTCTTTTAAATTAAATAAAGATTAAATAGGGATTTTTTTTTAAATAAAGGAATAAGAAATAAATGTTGATTTATGTATGAAGATCACGATGTGATCACATGATCAAATGTTGGTTAAAGGGAAGTATTTTACTATGTCATAGTTGAGAAATAGGACAAGAAGAACAAGTTGAGGTTTTTTAAATAATGGTTGATAAATTTTTAGAGCCTTGTAGAATGTCCTGCAAGCGATCTTATGATAAAGATACATATCTCATTCTAAAATCAAATACAAGAACATTCTTGGTAATATCATTGAATTTTAAACCTCCACGACACTTAAAATATAATTTATGTCGATTAAATTATTGTTTCATAATTTATTTTATTTATTCTCTAATTATATCTCTAATGAAAAATACCAAAATTAATAAATTGGATTAAAACTATAAATCACATTAGTCTTCTATCGAAGATAAAATTTGATATTTTTGAAAAAGTGACTCGTTCCAGTATTATCTATTACTATCCATTAAATCATGGTTTATTATATGAAGCAAGCAGTTTGCCTTGAATAAACATTCTTCCTTTGAAGAATACGTAATTTTTTGAATTAATCCATCCTCGATAAACAGTAATATCGTTAGATAAATATCTCGTTTTCCTATGAGCTCATAATCAAACGTTATTAATAGTAATTAAGAAGACAATTGTTCATCGACTTATGATTTGATTATTACTTAAGCAGGTAGCTCTATGGAAATTATTTTCAAAAATCTTCATTTTTCAAAAACGATTATTTGCTTCCCTCAAAAAATGCAATTTTTATTCAGCCTAATAAAATCCATAGAATCAATCATTATGGTCCCAACTGCCATATAGTACATAAAACTTTATTAACGTATTTATTATTCGCTATGCACTATAAAATATTCCCAATAAAATTTAAATCGGATAAATGATCATTATGTAATACGCTATATGCAGCGAATACACATGGTAATGAACCGTTTATTATCTACTTTGTTATCCTGGTTTTCATAATATCGAGGAAGTCTCCTCTCATTATCGAATCACGCTGAGTAGAGGATACTTAAGACTTATCAGTATGACGTAATAATTTATAATTCCGAGCATGATAATTAATCGATCATTTATTTACGAATAAACATACTTAGATTTTCTCGATTCCAAAAACAATATTTTCTAAATCAAATTTTTATTTTCTCTACAGATATTCGTTTACTTCTTACTGTCGTATATACTTATTGAATTTTAAAGAGATTAATTTCGTCGAGCAATTAAAATTTAATTAAACCGTAAAAAGGGCAATGCGTTATTAAAAAAAGGCAAATTAATAGCCGCATAAAATCGCAGTACATCACTTTCTCATTCTCGTCTAAGGTTAATCGTGGCGTATTAAATTTGAGATAATCTTATCAAATTCGAATGGGTGTGGGAATAATTAACGTCGATTTTTGCCTTCCAGCCAGGCCGAGTCGCGAAGTTTCATTGCGGACATTATCGGAAATTGCTTAAGAAACTCTTTAATAACAACTTTCTTGGGATATTAACACGACTTATTTTCAACTTTTCAGTCTTACACGAATTACACCGAAATCTATTCCGAGTTTCCTTGCAAGATAACGATTAAGATGATTCCTTTCGACTTGGGAAATAAAATGGAGGAATGGTGAAATCAAAAGCAGAGTAAAGTGGAAGTAAATTGGCGGAGTTATGGATTTATCGTTTGATTGGTGATCCGATAAATTATATATTACATAGCACTAATTTATGGGTGAGTTTTAATAATTTCACCTGTAAATAAAAATAAGGCAAAATTTTATTACGAGCTAGGAAATATTTATTTGAAAATTGCTCATTGATTGGTAAAATGCTTTGCAGTTGCATAACCATGTCGACTATATGTGACAAAATTTAAAACACATGGAAATATTTTTAACATTTTGAAAATTTGCAAAACACGTATCGACGAATCAAGGATAAAGTGATAATCATTTTCAAGCTTTTTGAACCCGAATAAAATATCGAGTAATGGAACGTTTCAAAAATCCCAAAAAGAGAGCTTCAAGAAATTGTTTCATTGATTTTAAAACCTCGAAAAGGGGAGAATTAACGAATAAATTTTGACATCTGAAAAAGGGATACGAACTGCAAAAGGATATTCGGAAATTCCAAATAGAGGTACGAATACAGTGACCTAGGCAATTAAAAATGAAAATCGCTTAAATTCTTTTGCAATCACGATGAATTAACTTCTGAAACGAGCTACAAATATTGAGTATAAATATGAATGAAATAATAAATGAAATTCAAAATATAAGAAAATGGTAATAAATTGATTCAAAAGTGATTTAAAAATAAGTATCAATGAAATAAATTCGAAATTGAACAATAATCAAACAATAATTTTACATAATATTAAATAATATTATTTATACTAAATAATAATAATAGTATTATATAATATTTAACATTAATTTTATATTAACGAAACGAAATTAAAATCTAAAAGAATGGCAATAAATCGATTTAAAAATGATGAAGAATGAAAGTTCGAAGAAGAAATAGTATGAAATATTCCAAAATGGAACATCCTTCTATTTCTTTCTTTTTTTCTTTTTATTTTAATTATTACTTATTGGGATTATGGATTTTAACTGTAAAATAACTATGATATATAGATATTGTCTATTAAAGTCTTTTATATTTTTATTACTAATGGAAGATATATCTGTTTTTGCACAAATTGATTAAATGCATAAAACAAAATGCGGAGAACTGCAATGAAATAATGTATATTGTTTTTTAAAATTCTCTTTATAATTTAAATCGAAATAAATATTGTAGAATGCATAAATACAAATGTAACTTTCATCCAACGGTATATAAAATTTATAAGAAAAAATAGCCAAAAGGTAATCGTTAGTAATGTTACCATTTTCATGTTACTGGAAGAGTTAATCGATTTGGCAAACGAAAAAAGTAATAAATTTAAATTTGACTAAATTTTCCTTAAATTCTGATAAGACGGCACTAAAAAATTCACCGTTATCATTCATGGTTTGCTAGTGCATTTGAGTTGCATTATTGCAACGATTTACATTAGAGTACGGAGTTAATCAAAGTGACCTCTAAAATAAATTATTTATTATTCAGTGGCCAAAAATTTTTGTCGTTTAATGGTATTAATCTTAATTATCAGGGGAAGTTATTATAAATATAAAAAATTATGACTATACCAAGTGCTTTGACACTTAAATTTACGATTTTTCAAAAAGTGGAGTTAATCGATTTGTGCAGTGAACGGGTGATATAATGATATATAATGATTTTATACACGATACATCTCGTCCTCTCGTTCTCTCGTTTACTATTCAACGTGTCACTTTTCTCGTTCCTCTTCCTGCTTCCTCTCCCGTGTTCCTATGTCTATCGAGAAGAACACTGACCTAGGGAATCCCCACTTCTTTCGTTGATCCGATCTGTTCTTGGTACTCGTCCCCGGTCGAAAGTATAAAAGACGAGACGCGATGGCTTCACGAGGATACGCATGCACAGTCCACGATTCGACGATGGCTAGACACAGTGATTCACGTTCAATCTCTCAGAAATGCGTCGTTCTGATGTGCCTTGTCGCCGTTCACGTGGCAGGAAAAGGTGAGAAGTCAAGGAATTGCTTGGCGGCGTGCTCGGTACCGGTGCTTATCGATGTAGCTCGAGTCCAGGAAAAAATATAGTGAAGGAATAGATATTTTATAGCATGGGAACTATTTATGAAAAATTGTCGTTGGGTTGTCGATACGAAATCCTATAAAACCACGTGGATGTTTACACTGTAGCGTCGCGGAATTGTACGTGGGAACTGGTCGGAACTTAGGATTTAAAAATCGTAGAAATTGACGTAAATGTTCGTATACTAATGTCGTGGAATTATTTGTGAAAGGTAGGTAAAGGTTAGGTTACAATTTTAAAGTTGTGGAAATTAGGTTAGGTTAGGTAGATATCTACATTGCAGTATCGTGGAATTATCAGTAACTCATAGGTATTAAATACGAATGTTTATATTGTAATATCTTTGATTTAGCTGTAAAAGTTGCAGATTGGATTATTTAATTCCATCGAAAATTTATGCGTCATCGCAAAGGAAAAATATCTTAGAAAGGAAAATACATACGTGTCTGGGACTCGAGTTACTTTCATAATACAAATGATCGGCGGGCAATAAGAGATTCGCAAACTTGTTTATATGAATTGTCTTTGTTCGAAAAATACATCGAGAAATCATCAGCTTCTCATCGATGATAAATTTCCTCCTACATGTGACAGGAAAATTAAATTTAAATTCATTTCAAATTAAAATTAAAATTAAAATTAAGTTTGTTTCAAATTAAAATTGAAATTAAAATTGAACATTATAGTTATGAACTTCGTCATATCGTTAACAAGTAAATTTGTTTGGAAGTAATTGCGTTTCTATTAATTATAATTTATCAGATTTTTATTTTCGACCATGATATCTCCCTGAAATTTAAGAAAACTTTAATTTTCTGTTTCTCTTGACAGACGATTGTAATATATAATTGCTCTTAAAATGTTTATTTTGTTATTCATTTTCCTCGTTTTTTAAATACTCGGTATTTTTTGCTAATGTAGTGTAAATTCCTTGGCAAACAAAACATATTATCTCCTTTTCTTCCTACCACATATTTTACACCTTAACATGTTTCGTAACGATTCCACAAATCCAAAGTAATTTTCATGCTCTATTTATATCCAGTGTTATTTTTATTTTTATTTATTTACAAACCAAATATATTTGGATTATTACTCCATCTAATATATTATACGAGACGATTCACATAATCGAAACCTTATTTTGATTGCAATTAGAAAGTATGTTAATAGAAAATCGTAGTCCTTCAATATTTATGTTTTTAATTCTCTTCACGACACGAAGTGACAAATAAACATTTACATGTACGTGTCTATTTATTTCCATAATAGGTTTTATGTAACGCATAACCATATGGAATTTGTTGATAAAAGCACCGAGTATAGGTCTTTAAAAATTTCTGTAATACCTTCATTATTAACTATTTATTTAATGATAGTACCCCATAAGCTAATTAATTTGTATTTTCTTATGATTCGGATATATTTTCAATTTTATTTTCCAATCCAATGCTTACTCGAGTCTAATTTCTTTCTTTTTTATTTCAAGATAATTCTACACGTGTAAAATAAAATATTTATTTATTAACTTCCATGGAAATAACAATCGTGTTCTTAAAAAATACCCGCGAAGTCAAACGCATCTTTCTAATAGCAAAAGAGAAAAGAAGAATTAGAATATCGACTATCTGAAAATACCTTTCGCAATGTGTACACGTATCGCGTGTACCTGTCAGCCAAGAATGAATTCGAACCGTGAATCGCACGTGAAACATGAAGGTCACGTCCTACCTGTCCTCTGGTCCCCACACTCGCGAATCTCAAAACCGTTTCGCTCACTTGTGGCCAATGTTTCGTTCCCGAAGAGATCTGCGACGAAACAAAGTGTCCCGGTCCCCTGAGATATTACAAGGACATCGGTTGTAAACCTGTCTACAAGAATCCCGGCGACTGTTGCGCACAAGTGTACGACTGCAGCCACCTGAAGAATTTGTCACCGGAGAAATGTTACGCGAACGGCCACGAGTATGATGTCGGTGAATCGCTGAAGCCCGAGGACGCGAAACCTTGCGAAATAGGGTGCACGTGCATATTACACGATTCCGTGTAAGTATACCTCACGTATTCTCTATGACATCTCTGATCATAGATCTCTTACTCTTCTCGTATCGACCTTTCCAATCGATATTCGAAAAAATTCGCGTGACAGACTATTTCGATAAATTTTAAAGGTCGAAATGCGAGTTTTATTTATTCTCCGTGGAATTATATTTCTGAATTTCGTAATTTTGGAAATTAATAATTAAATAAGTGGAATATATCGATAATTGGGAACGTAGTTAACATGTTAAGTGCTACGCCGGTCCCCAGGCTTTCCGTTCGGGCCCGGCTAGGACTTAAGGTACTGACATTTGGTGTTAAATTCTTCGCCATCTTTGGATATTCGAGTAAATTCGTGTGCCGCATTGAATTCTAAAATTTGTTGAACCCTATACTTAGTTTTTGATATACCTATTAATAGTATATTAAAGTACATTAAAGTGATAGGGTAATTCGATGATAAATGGAAAAGAATTTAGAAAATGTGAGGAACTCTGATATTTTTATTATCTAAATTAGATTTAGATTTTAACTAATCAAATATTCGTATATTTTTTTATATCGAATGCTCGAGATATTAAAATGATAGAGAAGTGAATTTGATCGATGCTGAAAATGGCAACTACTCACGTGAAGAAATAATTTCGAACGATTTGATAGGCACGAAGGAGACAAATGTATCCGGTTGTATATACACGTGACAGAGAAAGAAGTCAGAATTAATAAAGTTCGATATAATACACGTCGAGCAAGCAGTATAAATTGAATATGTTTTCCCCGAGGGCTCAAATCCGCGGGTCATTGCGCTATCAATATAAACAGTTGACATTTTGTTTGTCTTTTGAACAATTTCGAATTGTTTTAAAAGTAATCGTTCAGCAATGAATTATCGCCGAGTAAAATAATTTCTTTTCTCTTTTACCTTGTTTCCTATATAGTTATAGTTATAAATATTGTAATAATGCTATAAAAATTTGAGGACGTCACGTAACACGTACAGTGCACGCAAATTATTTATAACATTATATACATATCTTGCATAAACTATAGAAATATTAGGAAATTTTGGTGATATCACACTACATATACAGAATGCAAATTAGTTTGAATTTTTTAAATTTAAACTGTGTCGTAAAACTTGACATTTCGAAAAACATTTCGCTAAAAAATATTATTTTCAGCACTACTTTGAATTCATCTTATTTCACGTCATTTTTGTTTTGAAAACAGTGCCCATTTCTCGTGTGCAATCCTTGACTGTAACTTCAATGTTGACCAAGATTGTTACATGAGGTACTCGCATGATAAGTGCTGCCCAGAACGCATTTGTAGTGAGTAATTTAAATTCGATAAATAGCTTTTTACGTCCAATTCGTGGCAATAAGAAAATTAAATATTTCTATTGAAATTTAATTACATGGAATATTGTTTAAATCCAGAAGGAACTTTCTTCTCTAAGAAATTCATTTCCACCATCACAAACATCTTCATCATCGTATTTCCAAATGTAAATTATTTTATCATTATTATATACTTCTTTTTCTAAATGCAAAATGATATAGTGTTTATTAACATCACTATAATCGATCATGCATACCATAGTTACAAGAAAATTCTTGGAAAATAACACCATAATTAATATATTGATTATATTAATTAATACCTTGTATTCAGTATTAATAATTTATGTGCTTAATAGTGTAAGGATTATTTTCTACTATGTGTGTGAGATGGTGTGAGAGTGGTGAGAATAAGAGAATCTATTGGATTGCTATAGCCATTTCAATTCCTATAGGTTTTTGATCAGAAATTTTAATTTAAAATATAAATAAGCTAAATTAAGCTTATAGATTCATAATCTACTGATATATTCAACAATATTTTATATGATTATTATTAAATTGATTTGATTTATTCAGATCATTCTAGAATTGCTATAGATTGGCAGTGGAAAGAAAATTAGGTTGGTAGTGTTGTGGAAACGTGAGAAAATATAGAATACAAACTTAAAACAAAGTAGTGATATTTGTTAACACTTTGCACTCGAGAGGGTCCCTTCAGTCGCCATTTGATAAAATTTCGAAACTCGATATTAATTAATATATCAAGTTTAAAATAATGTAACAGTGTGCGAGGTATGGAATTCAAATAATTCTATGTGTTAATTATTATACGAGTTCGTACTTACTGCTTCAAAAAAGCTTTATAGCAGAAAATCTTTGAACTCCTACTCTTCTTTAGCCAAAAAATCGTCAAGTACTAAGGGTTAATATTGAAAATATGTATATATATAAATACATTATACGTACATATTAATTATAAATCCACCTCAAATAGTAATGTCATTAATATTAGTAAATTTTTATCAAAATTTACAAACATATTGAACCATTGTCGTTGCCATGAAAACCGAACCAACGACCCCATTTGAATAAAAAGTCGAACGAAAATTCTCTTTGAAGTTTAAAGCGACAAAGCGTTTAATTTGCCACTTTATTCCAAGAGTTTATAGAAAGAAGCCTTTATTTCGAAGAGGAGTTCGCTTTGAAAGTTAAACTTCATAATTGAAGATTTCGTCGACTGTGCATTTAACATGCTCTCGACTTACAGTACGGTATAAGCACGGCATTAATGAATATAATACGACGCAAGGAGCTTCACTGAATTATCTCAGCTCTGCTAATAGCATTACCATTCATCCTGCACTCCTCTCCCATCTTATTTCCTCGCCTATTATTTCCTATTTATTATCAGCTATCACCTAAAATCCAATTTCCTCCTCGCGCAATACCAATTCCTCTTCGTCTTACTTTATTTATATTTCTCCCCTTCGTTTCAATTTTTCTCCGATCGATTACTCGATAATAAAATCACTCCTCTTCACGCCTCGTCTATAGAGAAGAAAGTTCACCGTCGAAAATTGATAAAAATTCACGAAATTAACGCGACGAATTTCGTCGAAATTCCTTCTTTCTCTACCGGTTTGGTTAATATAATAGTTCGGTGGTGGAAGAAGAAATTCGCGAAATCAAACCACGCATAAGTCGTCAAGGACGTAATTAACGCGATAATGTGGAAGCGTGTGAGGCAGTGAACTCAAAAGCATCCGATTACGTTGTTCAGATAAGAAAAGGGCAACTTGCGAGGTTGACGGCAAATTGTACCTCGATGGAGAGCATTTCCTGGTAAAATCTGACCCGGAACTGGAGTGCTATTGCTTGCCTGGATACAAAGGTACGATAGAAAAAGTATTTCGATTATTAACCCTTTGACTGCCACGCTGAAATCACATGTTTCTCTCAGAACGCCACGGGGATGTACCCCAATAGTTGCAAGATTTGTTTTAATATTTTTTGTTATTTTTTAATATTTTTTTTATTATTTAAAGCATAAAATGGTAAAATAATAATAAATTGGTGATATGAGATAACATTCTTACCCAATGTAGCTTTTATCTTATTGGCCACTATAGTCACTTGTGTGGCTTATAGGCACTTGACCTCTGCACCAGTCAAGGTAACGGTTGACAATTGACTAACTGTCAATTTTCGTTCAATTTTATACAATTGTAAGTAGTTCAAGCACTCCGGTCACCAATGACCACCGTGGTGCCACAGGAGAAGCAGTGGCTGGTCATATATGGCCAACGTGACAGTCAAAGTGTTGACACGTGACGACCTATTATGGTGATTTCCATTTTTCAGCACTTATATACTTTGTCGTATTTTTCTTTACTTAAAATTATTGGTACATGATCTTATTTATTAATACGCGTTGAAAAATATTTTTCGTAGCATATAAGATTGTTAAATCCTTATCTGCATTTCATTTTATTACGTAATAGTTATTCAACATTTTACGTTTTTTGAAATTGATAACACGTGTAATCAGAAATTTTACTGGGCATTGTTCCGTGAAGAAATTCGTGCAAATATTATTTTGTTGTAATACAAGAAAAATATCATGCTCCAATGTTCAACGAAGAATATAAATTTAGGTTTTTAGTAACAGACTTGATGCCATAAGTCGTTTTACTCAGAGCTAAGAGCTGATATCTAATTATATGCCCAGTCCTACGTGAAAGGATGGAGATTAAATACCAGGTCGTCAACGTTAAGAATTACGTATTAAAAATGCAAGTTTCCACTTCTTGGAACTGAAAAATTCGATTAGAAGTGGGTTCAGCGTGGTTTGACTGCCACGCTACCTGCCAATTTTCTTGCGACGATCGAGCAAAATTTGATATATATTCATAGATAACTACTAGGTCATACTTTTATTAACGTGGGATATTAAATTCTCAGGGAAAACGAGAATATTTAATCTGGATTAAGGGATCGTATTTTAAGCGTATCTGATATCAAATTGAAACCTCTGTCCATTATCTCTGAACACTATGAAATTCGGTTTAATATAATCCTTTTAATATAAGGATACCTAATAATTTGTGGAAAGTAAGAAGATTCGAGCTCCCGGCTCTTCGGTGTTCAAATTTCGTAAATTAGCGTTGAAAATGATTAGAAATTGCAGGGAAGCCATTGTAGTTCGATAGATCACTGATAACTACGAGTATCAGATGAAGGAAAAAATAATAAAATATTAAAATACTATACGTTCGTGATATTGTAATAATACTTAAATCCTGTATATTTAGGTGAAAATATCGAGCCTTTCTGTAAGAAACGTTCTGATACTTCTTGCGATCCTGTGTTCAGACAGCCTCATGATATTCACGATAATTGTGTACCTGTGTTCTACAGCAGTCAAAATCCACAGACGGATTGCAACTTGAGTGCTAGATGTCGTAAGTTCGCAATAAAAATTAATAAAAATTGTTTCTTCTTTGTGAAGGAAGATAAAAATTTCATTTACAATTTTTGGAAAAAAGGAAAGATATGAAATTCACTTGGTTTTTGCAGAAAACTCGAAAGACGCTGTTATTCATAATCATGACAGCCTTAAGTCCGTTTCTGAAGAAGGTATGGTCTCTTTTGTACAATTATGATTTGTTTTTTGATTTCTTCCTTAACAAATAATTCTAATAACATTTCGAAAATTTCTAATTTCTACTAACACTTTGTACTATCATTGACTAACGCATTTACGATTAGTATATTAATTCCGTTCACTAATTCTGTGTTTCAACACTATTTTGGGAATATTAAATTGGTCGTTCGCTTAACATGGCTCGGTTAGCAACCAGTTCCTCTTTAATTAGGTTTTAATTAGATCTTGATTAGATTTTAATTATATTATATTCAGAATTTCGTGGCTATTATTCCCGTATATCTCAAGTATCATAATCAAATCATAAGGAGACTCGTAGATTTTTGATAATATAACTGAAATTATTGGAATTTATCGAGTAATCAAATATATGAAGAAATTAAATAAAGAAAATCCAGTAATTTATTAGATATTTTATAGATTCATTTTATAGATATTTATAGATTTATATACAGATATTTTATAGATTTATATGCATTTAGATATTGTAGTAATTCTTTAGATATATACAAGGTGTTCCAGAAAAACGTATACACACTTTAATACCTTATTCTTTTTAATTTTCTTTCTTTTTCTTTCTTTTCTTTCTGTTTTTATAATCACGCAAAGTGTGTATACACTTTTTTGGGACACACTGTATTTATTCAAAATCATAAAAGGAAAAAGACATAAATTTTTAATTCGAAATATTCTTAACTTCTCTCTTGACGCGTGCAACGAAAAATCGAGATCTTCCTTAAAATTTTGTAGTGTCATACGTTTGAATTTAAAATACGGATTTCAGAAGATAAAGGATCAGTTCACTCGAAAGTTTTAAAGACCAAAAATCATATGATTCCCGATCGTGTGGTACTTCTAAGTTCTTTACCGGGGATTTTGGATGTTAGACAGAACATATCGAACTCTGTTCAAACTTTGCACGAGATTTAGCTAAGATCCTTTCGTAGTTGCGAAAGATCGAACCCTTTGGATCAGAACTTGGCAAATCGTGGGACAAATCTAGACACTAGGTACAGTGATCGATTCCTTGACGTCGACTACGAGCATTTACGGTCTCTTGACTTCCACCTACCTTTGCTACAATGATTTCTATTATTCACACTGAAGTACCGAAATTTTAATAGAACTTTGATAATAAATTTAAGTGGAAAGTAGTCGTTAGAAGTTCTATTAAAAGGGTAACAATTTCATTAAATATAATGTCGATTAACTTAATATTATCTCGCTTTGCGTTATTAACCAACAAGCTTTGGTAAATGTTTAAAGTAAAATTAACGATTATCTGTATATCTGTGAATACCAATATTCGTACATATAATTTGCAAATTGATGAAACTATTTATTAGTCTAACAGCTGATAATTAAATTACGAAACGTTCATGGATTAAAATAATTTCATGGACCGATTCAATTAATTTATCATAAGCATTGATCATATGGTAACCTATGTAAAATTATAAACAGTATAATTTTATTAAAATATACTTTAAAAATTCCCTATGAAGAGGAAAGCATAAAATATATAGTAGAATAATAAACTGAGAATTAAAAATATTGGCATAATGAATATCGAAGTATATTTTGATAAAATTATAGTGTTTATAATTGTAGGTTGCTATATGACCATTGCTTATGATAAATTAATTGAATTTGAACACCTTTTATTACTCTGAAACGGAATAAAATTGCTTTATTTCAGTTCTCGATAGCTATAATACGTCAACTATTCTTGGAATCTTAAAAACTTTTACTCTAGATATATTTTATTATCCATTATATTGAAATTCTTAATTTTCCTGTAAACGTATTCCCTTCTTCTTCCATGGATTTTCCAAACACCTTCCATTCCATCAAGAGAGTCGAGATGAGAATCTGGAAGGGATAGAAATTCCATCCGTGGAATTCATCCACCAGCTTCTACACCGTCTATCGATTTTAGATTCGCCCTACATCAGATAACAAATCCAAATATCTTCCCGATTCTCAGCATCCTCGGATCCTACCTCTCTTGATCCTGCTTCTCTGAAGAAAGAAACTTCCATTCCAACGAACAATCAAATACGTTGACCACTCACCCAGCAATAATTATGCATCGCTTTAATTTCCAAATTTCCAAAATTTCATAAATTCAACAACGAATTTTCTTCATCTGTGATCCGACTTGTAATATATCGATATTAATATTACCATGGTTCGTCTACTATTCAATTTTCATAATATTATTTTTCACGATATTATTATTCTCACGATTCATTTATGGTCTAACATTACAGTATTAATTACTGCATTAATTGTTAATATTATTAATTAATATTAATTAACAATAGTATTAAGTACTTAATTATTAATAGTATTAATTAACACGTTGACTGCCATAATGGTCATCAGTGACTGACGCTTGTCTCCTCACTGGGGCCATGGTGGTCATCAGTGTCCGGTGATACTAATTTTTTAAATTTATATTTGTTTTATTCTAACCAACTTTTTAATATCTCAACAACGTAAATAAGTAGAGAACTTTGAATAGAAAATGTTAATAATTTGCACCGTTTTATTTTAACCAATTTTTTAATATCTGAACAACGTAAATAAATAGAGAACTTTAAATAGAAGATATTTATTTGTACCGTTTTTTATTTTAAAAAATTTTTTTCTTTGCTATATTGTTTGATAATTCATCATTATATCCTAAGAATAATGGGAATTTTGTCGTGATCCCCTGATTACTATATGAATACTACTGAGTACTAAATAAAATATGCGTGGCAGTCAAAGTGTTAACAATCACAGTATCAGCACGGTTAAGCTTCTACTAGTCCATTAACAAATCAGCTTCGGTGTACACCGGTACAAGTAAAGTAATTAACCGTGGTAACTGTGTCTCATCGATCTTACAGAAAGCAAGTTGTGTCGATTTGGTAACATGACGATGCACATAGGCGACGAGTTGAACCAGAACACCGATTATAGCTCACATTGCGTGAAATGCCTGTGCGAGGTGCCACCGGTCCCGACATGCCAAAGACTTCCTGACAGCGAGTGTGACTCAAAAAATCTGTGATATCCCCTTCTTCTAAGTTGCTGTCGACGATTCGGTTTCCAAGTTTCATCCTCTCGTGAACCTCGAATGTCACGACTATAGTTAGCTTTAGAAGTACTATATACGCTGTTAGTCTATCTTCGTCGTTATTACGTGTCGTTGAAATTTGTACTAGAAATATTTGCGTAGAATTCCTGCGAAAGTCTTAGGCTTGTTCGATTAACGTTTCGCGAAGTGTCTCGTTAGAGAAAGAGATTAGAAACTAGAATTTGTTAATGGGAGAAATACAGTGTACGAATAAAAATCGAATAAAAATTTAAGATTTTAGTTAGTACAGGATTATGATATAAAATTAGAAGCTTTTTTCGTGAACGAATATGAAATTCTAAAATTTATTGGAGCATCTGTTGTGTTTGGAGAGTGCATACGTAACCTGAAGACGATTTGGAAACAATTAATATTGACAGAATGTAGAAATGTGAAGCACGTTTAAAGAGCAAAAAATTAGTAGGAAAATTGTGAAAAGTTGCTTAGAAAATCGGGACATAACTGTCAATATTGTAAGGTATAGTTGGAGGTTTGTCGATGAAAGTAGGATGAGTCTACTGTTTATGTAAGTAGTGTGATTAGTGAGAAGTGATACTGAAGTTTGGTTAGACCCGATTTGGAAAAGGAACGAATAAGAGTAAATGTAGCAATAATGTACAATTGCAGTAATATTCGTTAGTACGAACTTAACAATAAAAAAGAATGAATATTAAAATAATTGCACTTTCTATCCTTTTTCTTCATAAGTTTTTATCATGCTCGAAGAGTAGATATCAGAAGTAAATATCCAATTGTGGTACGTGACCACAGTTCTTCTTTCAGTTCACGTACGCGTAATGATTAGAATACTAATATTAAATCGTGCTTACCATTGAAATTATCCTATAATAACATATCAGAAAAATAAAATTATACACGAAGTCGTTAATGTGACGTGTAAATTTTAATAGTAGTCACGTTTAATTCTAGTATGTTTTTACTCAAAATTTGAATCTTTCAGAACATAGAGAACCAGATTTCTCTTATTAACATTTTATCTCATTTTAAAATATAATTTGGAAAATTGTTTTAGACAGTTTCGTATGTACATACTTTCTCTTTAATTGAATCAATAACTTTGTTTTTTCCTATTCCTAATAAGCACATTATTTTCATGAAGAATTGAACTCCATATACATTTAGAATCTAAATTAATTAACAGTTTAATTCAGAAAGGAAACCATACGTATTTCGTAAATAAATATTTACCAACCCGGTCTAAGAACTTATTAAAACTTAAATATTCATACCATTTGTTATGCAGTACTATATAATGAGTTTACTGTCCATTTAAATCATTATATTACAATTTTTTCTTCGTAGAAATTAAATATTCATACCATTTATTATGCACCACTGTATAGTGAGTTTACTGTCCATTTAAATCATTACATTAGAATTTTTTCTTCCTAAAAAGAAAAAAAAAATTCATACTCAATGATCTCCTAACTTATTAGTATAATGATATAAAATAAAGAATAATTCTACTTTTCCAAATAATAATTCTTTTCCTGTTTATCTTTCTCTTTCCTTCCTCTTTATTTTATGAAAAAGAATTATCAACGAGAGTCATGTAGTATTGTTTATAATTCCTATGCAGTAATTAGTACTAAATTTTTTAATTCAAGCAAGTTAATTCATTATACATACTTTACAAACAAACCCCCTTTTCACCCCAATACAAAAATATATGAATACAAATATATGCTAATTACGTACCAATATAATATGCATAATTAAACCGGACAATTACTTCCTCTCCAAACTTCTGTTCAAATTCATAGTACCAAAATTCAAAATTACTTTTATGTAGAAAGAAACAGAAACTCATTTTCTGAAAATTCAATCCGCCATGTTCCAATCATGGTTGGATGGCTCGCGCCAAAGAATGACGCGTGATCCAGGTATTTGTTTAACACTAGAACTACCAACCCAGTCAAAATTACTGGTCCCAGAATTTTCCTTTTTGCAATCACCGAACACATACACCTGCTTTAAGAATAAAATTGGTATCAACTCATATTAAGAAAGAACTGTAATCAATATATTCACTTATATTCATCGTACCGCTGAAATTATTATAATCTGTGCACGTTATAGTTAGGTACCCATTAAGGATCGGTAGTTCTAGTGTTAAAAAGATCTCTCACGTGATTTTCCGTCAGAATTACTCACGGTTTGGTTATGCAATCCTCAGTTTCCATCGACAGCGGTGTAACCTCGATGAGTTCTCGCAATCATATAACCTCGACGCTCTCTGTACCGCTTCTCGTCATCAGTAAATGCTTACATGTTTCCTTTCTTACTAGAGAAAAGGTGGAATAGACGATTAATTACGAGACAAACGAGTTAAAAATGAGTATCGATGGCGGTGCGATTTTTAAATAATTCGAAACTTCGTTATAGCTCGCTCAGAACTACGACGATCAACTTCCAGTTAACCACGAAAAGTCATCCAATTAAAATTATTCCCAACAACGAATAACAGCACCGAATCGCACCAAAGCGTTCGAGAAGAGGAAAAAGCAGTTGACGAAAAGAAATTTGGTCCCGGAAGCGAAGAAATTCCAGCTGGAATATTCGTAAATCTCCTTTCCTCCTCGAAAACTTCCGTCCTTGGAACATATCGGTCTCGTTGAAAGAAGCACCGTCGAGGGTTCGATTTAGCCGTCGATGATGCGAGCGATGATAAGAGCGAAGCAGAAGTTTCCATGATATCGCTTTCACGAAATTGTGAGACCCGTGGTGGAAGCCCGCAAGTTTGCCGGAAGCTGCGCGCGAGGACGTGTGGCTAAAATGGCGGAAGAAGGAAGGCCATGAGGGCGCGGAAGTGGCCGGCCAACGTTAAGTCGGTGGAATTTATGTCAATTGGTCTCGGGTGTTATGAACATCGGTTCGATTACCAACGTCGTCGATATATATCACGAACCGTCGCAAAGTAGCGTTTCGAAGTCACGCTGGCATTCTCATGGCTGCCTGCTCAGCAACATTGCTGTTCGTGACGAAATTTATCATTGACTTTAGTGACTCCTTCGAATTTCGGGTTATTTTCCCTTTAATGGAATCATAGATAATTTGTAAATTATCTAGCGACGCTGTTTTACTATTTTAATAATACTATTGTGGAGACGATTTGGTGATGGTATATATTTATTTATTTAATAATAAATTAACAGTGGTAGAGTATGTGAGTAAGAATAAAGATACGAATTATTACAACTTATCACAACGCTCAACCTACACTTCTGCAGCAGCTCTCCTATTGCAACTCACAACTAGCAACAACAACAACTCTGGCAACTAACAACTCTCCTATTATAACTCGCTAATCGACAACTCTTCACTGACTTAGCAACTCTCTAATCGACAACTCTCTTTCAACAACCCCCTTAACTCAGAACGTCCTTATCCTTTTATATTCTTCTTCCCAGCATGTACACCCTGCACGCGTTTTCCAATGCCTCCCCCAACATGACCAAATATGGTTGTGCTAAGGGTCTGACGCATCGCCCAGGGTTTTTCCAACTGACCTGGCCTTCGATCATGCAGTGGATAACTTGCGATACGATAATAGTATACTAAAATTTATCACTGTGCAATATTCGACTATCCTAATCTCGTAATATTCCCTTACCGATTAAATTCAATCTCGATTTTCTCCTAAAACGAAGCCTAAAACCTTCCTCTTCCTCCAGAAATCAGCATTTCTTTCTTCCTGCATTCTCTGCTTTTCAGATAAATGCGCTTGCAACATGTTTTATTTATTTTTTATTTTTTATTTAGCAAAAATTGTATCTGATACGTGTTATAGATGTTGAGGCACTAAAATCGAATATTTCAAATGTTAGTAGCTTTGTTCCTTTTTCTTTTCAATTAATCCCAAGTATTGTCAATTATAATTTCTTTTTTTAAATTTAATTTTCTATCTTTCAAGAATTTTCTTCAAGAATTATTCGTTTCGTCATTAATCACAACCTACCCCAATTTTTAACTTGAATTTCAGTTCCCTTTTTTTCCATTTATATTTCTACCACCATGAATATCTGCTCTTGCATAACACTACGAAAACATGAAAACGGGAAAAAGGAGAATCATAACCCCTGCGCGTAGTTGCAGCCATAACAAAAAATTTTCCAGCTTGTACGTTTGAAACGTCGGAAACAATTTTCCAACGCGGTTCACAAATGCGTAAAGGTTCTCCGAGGCGAGACGTCGAAAACGTTACCTTTTGTATCTTATCCCTTCATGCATATTTCAGAGCACGCGGAGATAGGACGTCGAACCTTTGCACATCTTATCTGTTTCGAACCTTTTTCGTCCGCGTTATTCGATTTGCTTATTCCTCCTACCCACAGCTTCGTTGCTTCTCACCCTCGGCATGCTGTCGGTCCTTTTACCGTTACACGCTTGTTAAAATTCCAGCCGGAATCCTCCATAACAAAAGTCGCAAAACTCTTTCTCCGGAGACATGTCTCATTCCACCGCCAATCAGCTTCACCTGAGCAAAGGAAACTGTTACAGCTAAACAGTGCATAGCACGAGTTCATTGCGCCGAAGAGTGAAAAATAATCTCCGTGGAAGTAGGATTAGAACTCGGGTTCGACATAAATTTAATTTCTAAAAAGTATACTTAGAAATGTAAAGAGAAGTGCTGTTACTTTGGGTAATTTGGTTAGTTTGGACAAGGGTGTTGTTCCAAGTCAGAGTTAGCGATTTTATCATTATCTTGTTCAAAAGGCTACCCCCGCGTCTAAGAAGAATAAAGCTAACCAAAAACAAAGTAGCTAATACTCAATGGGATCTAAAGATTGCCATTTCAATTCTACCAGCCAATCTGCCCCATCATCGAAAACGTATCGATGATCGATGCCTGTGGTCGCATTAGACCGTCGCGTACGCGTATTTCCAATAGACAAGCTTCTGTGGACGCAGCAGCACGCGTCGCCACTGAGTCGTCTTTCGGGGTATAAATTAACCGCGACAATAGCAGGATTAGTCCCGTGCTCATTGCACGGACTCTATTATTCAGGCCCGGTCAGATACGTTTCCAGCTTGGCGCGATCTAAACGCGGAACGACCGATCCATCAACTAATCAATTCGGCTGACGCTTTTCTTAGGGGTGTTTCGGTCCGCTTATACGGGGCCACTTTGTGCCGGGCTCACCCTGAGATCGAACGGGACGGCGGAACGTTGGGCGATGAACGCTTGAATCGGAGCGATGTTTCCGCTCGTTCAGGCTATGAATTAACGTCCATGAAGATATAAATGACGGACCGGATATCCCTTCGGGATCCTCCGCGGCCAATAAAGCGAAAGGAGCTCTTCTGTCTTCATTCAGACAGCGACGTCTCTGCCAACGGTGATCGTCGTTTCCGAAATTATCGGCGGACTTGCAGCTCAACT